AAGTTTAATTTTCGACACCTTTTATATGAAAAAAAAAAAAACAACAAACACTGAAAATGATTGTTGTTAGGCTCTTGATAATTGCGACAATTACCGACGGTACTGTATAGAAATTTGTCCATCAAGGAAAGTTTGCATGTTCCGTGAAAGGTATGCTAAAATTCTATTGTCAGTCCCTGGATAGGTTTTAATTAAGGCTAATTAATTGATTGACTGTGCTTTTATGTTCGATATTTATCTACTGTTTTGTAAATTATATAATTATTTTTGCATTTCACCATTATTTTTCATTCAATGTTCTTTTTATTTATTTATTCCACTCCGATCATTTTTTATTCGATCCATGTGCTTAAAATTAACAAAAATGATTTAATAATTCATTCAAATAAAACAACAAATGATAAGCATGAAAATCAACAATTTTATAACGTTCGACTTCCATATAATTTTGAAAAGTGCCGTACGGCTAGACAATACGTACAGTGCGTCCTGGCTAGTCGTTCGTGACTCACGTACGGCTAGAACTTTTGGCTAGCCGTACGTTTCTTTATTTATTTATTTATTTTTTTTGATATTGTTACGTATTTTGAACCATAAAAAATCTCCTCTACACCTCCTGTGAAAATTAAATTGTCTGGTCAATACTTTATTATATTAATATTTCCTTACGATTCAACTAGATTTATCATGAATCTAAAGATGTGGGGAAATGACATCACGCGCACCTGTTTTTATACGGCCAATACACAAACATGGCCGCGCTTACTGATTTGTAGAAATCGGTGATTTAGCGATTTAAATTTTGTTATCATTCGTTTAATATTATTATTTGGCGGCAGAAAATTTGCAGACTTATTATTTATAGTATTCTTTTTCTGAAATCAAGTTTTTATTCTAACCTTGTCTTTCCCTTTAAGTAATGAATCCTCCTGAGATCAGGTACATCATTTTTGTGTCGCCTTGAAAAGGTGACATATAGGGGTTACTTTTGTCGGCGGCGTCGTTGTCGGCGTCGGCGTCCCCTAAAGCTTGTCCGGAGCATAACTCAGTCACTATAAGTCTGATTGACTTCAAACTTGGTATGCATGCTTCTTTCAATAACCCGAAGTGCAGTGCACAAGGATCGGTACTCTGCAGTTCTTATTTTTTGAGTTATTGCCCTTTGTTAATTTTCATACTTTAATTTTGTCCGGGCCATTTCTCTTCAACTAAAAAAGCTATGGACTTGAAACTTCATAGGATGATAGATCTCATTAAGAAGAAGTGCAGTGCACAAGAACCGGTACTCTGCACTTCCTAATTTTTGAGTTATTGCCCTTTGTTAATTTTCATACTTTATTTTTGTCCGGGCCATTTCTCCTAATGTATAAAAGCCATGGACTTGAAACTTCATAGGATGATAGGTCTCATTAAGAAGAAGTGCAGTGCACAAGAACAGGTACTCTGCATTTCTTATTTTTTGAGTTATTGCCCTTTGTTTATTTTCATACTTTAATTTTGTCCGGGCCATTTCTCCTTAAGTATAAAAGCTATGGACTTGAAACTTCATAGGATGATAGATCTCATTAAGAAGAAGTGCAGTGCACAAGAATCGGTACTCTGCATTTCTTAATTTTTGAGTTATTGCCCTTTGTTGATTTTCTTACTTTATTTTTGTCCTGGTCATTTCTCCTCAAGTATGAAAGCTATGGACTTGAAACATCATAGAATGATAGATCTTATTGATAAGAAGTGCAGTGCACAGAAACTGCTGCTCTGCACTTATTATTTTTTAGTTATTGCCCTTTGTTATTTTTCATATTTCATTTTTGTCCTGGCCATTTCTCCTAAACTACATTGTTCACAAGGCGACACATCCGACTCGCGGAGTTCTAGTTAATCAATGGTATACACTTTTGCAGTGAACAGTAGACAGCAGCTGCGTTATGTTTTAAGCTCTCTGATGCGGCAACGTAACACTGTGTCTTCTTTTCGCAGTTTGGTGGCAGATATACAACCATTGTATGTAGCGATACCATCTCAGTGTTCCAATAAGCGCTTTGCACTTCTTCTAGGGCAGTACAAACATAGTTTTCCGAGAAGTCAACCCATAATACGATCTCATTGTCAGGCAATGACTGTCGCAAACGACGCATTTCACCATATTGAGTTTTTACCCTCAACACGTGTTCACGAAACGTCGAGTACTCATTCACAACAGTTGAGATGAACAGTCCTTTTGTCATCTTTTCTTCTATTTCCTTCCACCTATACTTTTCTTCATCTTGTATCTTTTTCCAGATCTTAAAAGTTATAGATTCCGCGTCATTGATACCGGATTCAAGAACACTCTTCAACTGATCTGTCGCTTCATATTCTGTCAGAAATACATCAGGGTTTGCAGAACACTTTATTCCAAGTCTCCGTAGGGTTTTAATTTTCAGGGAGAAGTTCTGATGATATGTACAGAGGCAAGTCCTTCTACTTGCAAAGCTGGTGAGCAGTATGTGGCTCGGTCTCAGTTTGCAAAATTGGCTTTTAGACATTTTGGTTTCTGGGTTTTCTAGGCAAAATTTTTCCCAAAGATTGTGCATATAGTCACTGAGAACATACTTTTGTCTTACGTCCTTTTCAACAGTTTTGGTGTCCCGTTTTCCTGGCTGAATAACACTGTTATCCTCTCTCTCCAAGAACACTCTCACTGATTCTGCATATTTTCGTTTCAGTGAGGCACTTGGTCTTCGCACATGAAGATTCGTCATCTTCTTCCGGTTTACACCAGCTGCTTTCGATAGACTGTTAATACATCTATACTTCTTCAGGATCTCAGCGGACATCAGTGCTGTAGATGTTTTCAATTTCTTTTTCTGTGAAATACTTTTCTTAACACTCGCTATTACGACGTTGCCTAGAAATAATTCTCTATGAACTGTGTTTTTACGGTTGAATGTAACACCCGCTTTCCTCAACAGAAACTTTGTCTTGGTTTTAGGCGTCATATCCCTGTTCGGTGTTGTACAGTCACTGGAATCTAGAGACGAGCTTGACATGTCAGCGAAAGAACTTTCGTCGGGGTGGTGAACCTGTGCTTCTCTTTGGCTTCTCCTTTGAAGTGTCCGCTTCTCCTTTTCCAACCGTTTGCACTTCTCTTGCATTTCATTGATTCTCCTGTATGCTACACTCAATGCTCGCCTATAAGTCTTCTGTACGCCCTTACTCCTTCCTGTTATAGGCAGCTTTACTATCAGTGCTTCCTGCGTCTTAGCTTTACTGCGTGTACTCGTTGAGGCACAAGGTTCGTTTACACAAGCTTTCTTTGCTGCTTTCTTCCTGTTGTAATACTTTCTAAATCGATCCCGATTGTCCTGCCTTCTTTGTTGCAGCATTTCACCAGACAGTTCACAGTGAGGTACATATGTAGCCATTTTCCTAGCACGCTCACCCTTCAAATAGTTTTCTCTATTCCTCTCAAGTTGTCGCTGTCGCCAACGTTTTTGTCTCTCAGCATTTGACAGTACCATTCTGAAAACAAAGGAACAATAGTTGATTAAAAGGATACTAATGTCCGTAACGTTTTTTCTAATTTCCGTAACGAGCACTTATGGCTAAATAACGATATAAATAGACAGTCATCGATATGTATCGTTGTGTAATTGTGATAAATATATAGTATTTTCATTTGTATTCCTTATGTGATATTTGTTAATTGCATAAAATTAATGCAGAACATCGAAATGCACATGTGAAAATTTCACATAACTTCCGTAACGATTATAAACAGACTATATGACGGAGATTGCTAGAAAAACGGCATTTACTTTATGCACCGAGGTGTGAAGAATAAAAACACAATTTTACCATCTTTTATTTGTACATCTATGAGTTGCTTTCTCAATAAAACAACGAGCCATCAAAAAGTCTAATTTCCATAACAATTTTAAAAAGGTGTACATATGTACATTTCAACTTTTAAATTGTCACTGAAAATACTCTGGAGCGTTTTTACGTTATTAAATATTATTTATAAAACAGCGACAATCACATACATTTACTGGTAAATAATCTTCAAAGGAACATATTATATTTTAACACATACTTGGCGATGATGAAATCTCTTCATTGGTGTAAAGAACAGCGTCTTAGCAGAAGACAAGGCATCAACCGGATATGACGTGATCGTCCGGCTTAGTAAAAACACAAGCGAATAAGAATTATTCCAGAAAGATCGTCATTATTTTGACCTAAAAGAATTCGTTATGGATGTTAGATGTTACGCCCGTTAGCTTTTCTGTACTTTTATGTGTCCGTTAAAAGACAAATTAGATTGGAATTACATCGAATTAGTATCATGGCATACAAATGATGCCACAAAACTACGCGTGGTGTTAAAGTGTCGCAATTACGTTTTTTGAAAGAGAAAACTAACGTTACGGACGTTAGAATTTTCGCTGTTACAAACTCAAAATTTGAATAAGACTTTATTTTCATCGTCATTTGAACAGTCTTATCCAAAAAGTGTGTGTGTTCGTTAAGTATACTATTTAACTGACTGATTAACGATATTTTAGTTTTATTTGAACGTGATCTTGATTGATATATCAATCGTCACACCCATGTTACGGTAATTAGACATATTTCGGCGACGGGATTCAAACATGGGTCCACATTACGATTTTGACAAATGGCCACTTGCACATCAACTAAACCAAAGCAGGATGATTCTGTTAGAGAAATAAACAGTTATTATGCATGAAATGACTAATAAACTATGACACAGGGACTTGATTTTATCTAATTTTATGCTGGCGACAAGCCAAAATTGACCCTTCGCAAAACATTGAGAGACACCATTTGTAAAAAAAAATATTCATATAGTTATTAAAATCGTTTCGCTTTTCGCACTTAGGTGCTATTAATTCGAAACTAGTATTTTTTTACACTAAGTGATGAATTTTGGTGTGTTTATTTTGTCTAAATGCCGGCGACAAGTTTGTTTTGTAATTGTACCCATTTTTGGAGAGTCACTGGGAAATGGATTCTAGGTTTCGTCCTTGGAAACAATTCATCTGACCATTTTCCAAAGCAATTAGCACCCTTGCCACTTTTGTCTTCTCGAGCAGAGAACTTTGAAGCCTATAAACGTCGGTATGAATGTTTATATTGTGACCCATGTGATCTGCAACAAGCTTCAACTCCGCGCTTGTCATGTCCAATATCTAGAAGAGAAAACAGGTAAGAATATATTAACGATATAATCTAACTCTAAAATGATCATTGACAAAGACCGCTGCCTTCTCATATAAATTAGATATTAGAGATAAAAATCAAAGCAGATACGAAACTCAAGTAGAACGTACGTCACAAATGGCCATATTCAATGATTCAACGATTGCTATTAAAGAAGGCTTCTTATATCACTGTTTATAGTGGTAAATAACATAATAGTCTGAAAACTTCCAATTCGTCAATTTAGAATAGAACCCACCTCAGAAAATATCCTTTCAATTTACGTTAGATATGTCTTATATTTGAATATTAGGTTCGATATATAAACCAATATAAAGCTGGCACCAGTGTATGTACGTTCCAATGGAATAAATTTCCGTTTGTGTCGTCAGTAAACTTATTCTTTCACTTGTCACATAAGTTTGTAAACAGACAACATATTTATTACCTGCGATGTTGTTGCAAGATATTTCCTCAACAGCCTGGTACGTATTAACTTTGGTTTTTTCAAACCAGGACATTTACTGGTAACTGAACGCATCGCCCCACAACCATCTAGAGGTGAAGAATCACTTTTTCTACAAAAAAAAAACAACGACAAATTCTCATATTAACAGTTTAGTTAAAAGAACATTAATTCTCAGAAATGTAAATTTTCAGTGAATGTATATTTTGTAATCAACTGAAAGTAAATGGCATCTTAAAGTCATTGTAAACGTATTAACAGTGACAGATTACACATCTTGCTAAAATTTTATCATATTCCTTTCGTTTTTGTTTTTTGTTGTTGTTTTTTTTTACATTTTTTTTACAATGTTTACATGCATAAACGGATATATAGCTTTTTATATGAAGAATAAACAACACATATGCATGAAAACTTAGTGAATTTATTAGTTTTATTCTTGTATTGACATAACCAGCCTCAATAATTACTATTTATTTATGTATAAATTCAAATACTGGAATAATGTGAACAAAGGCAGTATTTTGGCTTCCAGTCAAAATGCTTAATATTGAAATTGTATCTGTTTTTTCTCTGCTATAAGTTTATCAATAGCAATTGAAAATATGTGTAATAAAGAAGTTTTTGGAAACTTTACATGTCAATAATACTTTTTTGAATTTTATTTTCTGAAGATTGTATTTGTATCTGAGAGTAAATGTGCCTTTAATAATTATATAGGGACTAACTTGGTAATCTATTTTGAAACCTTTTCAAAGTATATGTTGCATTAATGTTAAGTAATTACATCAGCTATTGTTACGTTTTCTGTTCTTTTTATACAAAATTAATATTTATTTTTCGATTGTTTACATAATTCTGCATATTATAAGAACATACCTTTAGCTTATTTCTTAATTTACCAGCTGTATAATTACTATCTATGATGAGTACAAACGTTTCAGTGTTCACTTGCAGTATGTATCGCATTATTGTGATTTGTTAACATCAATGCATATAAATTATTTATGTATGCAATACAAAGAATAAAAAAGGTTGTTCACCGAAGAAACAAGTAGCCGCGAGAAAAATGAAATATTCTTTGTTACTAGCTTGTTATCAATATCAGAGACAATTTTATCAATTACCTTCCAAATAGGTATGGACTATTGTGTTTCCTATTCCGAATCAAGTATTCCAAGGCATTGTACATGTCTGGTGTTAGAATGACATACACCTTCCGTATATTCCGTGTTGACTTACCTCTTATTTCCATTACCTTCATTCTGCAAGTAAATTCTAAGGTATATAGAGAAAATATTGTCATATAAACATAGGTTTGATCCAGGAATTTGTAGTTTCTTTTATTAGTTGACCCTAAGGTTTGTTCACTGGTTCGTCAATATGGTGTATTTTTGTAATTGAGCAGGTTTTTGTGTCAGGAACTTGGTTCATAACTATACGAAAGAGATATATTCCTTTCTATCTGATCATAAGCATTTACTATCCGCAGTTTATAAGTAAATACTTTCCTTTCTAGTCTGATTTATATATCAATCAGATGCAAAAAGACTTACTTTCAACTTTTCAAATTATAAATGTAAAATTATTATTGGTCAATAAATTAACTTTTGAAGTAGTTTTTAGCTCGACTTTTTTTTTTTGAAAAAAAAGTAGAGGTATTGTTTTAAATTGTTTCAGCAAAATTGTATTTGTGTACCTTTTTGAAAGAGCTTGTTCTGAAATGTCGAGTGACTTGTAAATGTCGTCACCTGTTTCTTCTTCTTTCTGCTGTTGTAACATCAGTAAGTCTGTTACCTTCATCTCCATTACCTCTGAAACTCTTCGTTTATTGAACAGTATATCTAGCCATGATTAGTTGTGCTGCCCATTTCCATTCATTCCAACTGGGTGAGACTATCTTCATTTCATTTTGGATCTCTAGTTGGATCCATGTGGTCAGTTTGATTAGGTCTGCCGTTGATGGTATTTCGGACGGCTTATTTATTTGCCGCAGTCTTTGGCGCCTTTTCGCCACACAGGAAACCTGATTATTCCAATGGGCTTCGTAAAGGTACTGGAAATCTTTTCCTTCTTGTTGATATTCGGACGATCCTTTCATAATGCCACAGCTTACTTTTAGAAATGCAATCTGCTTAATGTAATGTCCTAATGTCAGCGCTAATTGAGGACTATCACATGAAAGAGCCAGAGACTTAGTTGCACTTACAACTTTCTTGAACTCTGTTCCTTTGATGAAATCACTGATCGTTTTTTCCTCCCCTTCAACATTTCTTAATTCTTTCAGCAAACGACCAACCGTTCTTATTTTAGTAATTAAAAGAAAAAAGTCCCTCCCTTAGCGGTTTGAACTCAAAACCGCACAGTAGAAGCTGTAATCTAGGCTCATTTCCATAGAAGTAAATATTCTTCAGTTAGGAAGTAGTGCAATTTGGTGTACTACCTTTAATTGGTCTTTTTAAATACAATTAAGTCAATTTTAATTTGTATTTTCTGTTATTTGACAATGATTTTCTCGGTCGTATCATGTAATGACAGTAGACCCGTGTGCGATCTGTTGATAATTTTGAAAGGCTTGGTACCTTTTTAGAGCCGCAAAATGTTAATAAATCATAGTTTTGTACACTAATTATGATCGTATGACTTCGTCTTTAGTTCGTTACGCAACCGTATTTTAGAACATAACATATAAAATTTATTTTTCGTACCAAAAATGAACTACTATTTTCATTTTGTACCAATGATATTCAGCTTGTCTAAAAATTTTATTAGAAAAATTTGGTTACAGAATAAAATGCGAAAAAGAAACGAGTCCTGACATTTGCTAACTAACTCTGAGTTAAGGTATTTCAAACAAATGACATTTGCAATTTTTAAATCAATTTGTCCTCAAACTAGAATCTTGATAAAAAAATAAATAAAATTTTTAAAGAAGATAAAAACGTAACTCACTTCTACTGTACTGAGGTTCTTATGCCCTGGTCGTCGCACCATTTTTGAATTTGCTTCATATCCTCAATATCCTTAAACAGCACTGAGTGTCCATCCACCTCAAATGAACATTTTTCATCCTTAACCTTCTGGATGACCGTCTTCAAGTCTGTCTCCTCCGAGACGATCAAAATATATTTTGCGTTTGTTGACATCCTTTTCCTGCGAAAGTTTCAAAAGAAATGACAAAATCGCAGTGTGCGACCAACACATGGCAAGCGTGATATTTTAAAGTTTACAAACGTCACGATATATTATACGCATAATGATATACAGGCCTGTGGTCCCCTATAAAGGTTATCTACGGAATTTACTTTTACAATTCTGTGAACAACATTTACGTGTGGTCTGTCTGTGGTTCCGTTCGTTTACACTGGCCCAACAATCCATGTCAATACAGTTGCGAAGGGGAGGTTCAAGTAGATGCAATTTTGAGTTGCTGCAAACATTAACGTAATAAGAAATTGTTCTAAATTCGTGCGATTGCCAGCCCATGCTGCCCCCCCCCCCCGACCACAATTAATGTTTTGAGAAAAAACTGTTAAGTATCACATTCCTTGCATGATAAAAACAAGAAATGTAACTTATTTCTTAAAATAAAACAACCTACCTTCCACGAATGAATGTTGCCAGAGTTGTTTGTTGTGTTTCAAAGAGCATTAGTTTGGAACATTGGACCATGTCTTTCCCTGGGGACATGAAAAATTAAAAAGACATTAAAACTCACTTTAAGAAATAAAAATGTTAATTATCTCAACATAAATCCTGAAAATATTGAAATTTTTAATCCAGATCGCTGATTTAATACCTAAAATAATAGAGACAAGCATATATAACAGGAGGTAAAATTAACAATGACACCGCATTTTGTTGATTTAAATGAAACAAATGGCTAAAAGTTTATGTTTGAAATGTTAAACTTTACATTTTTATACCTGCTATTGCATATAAACGTACATCTTATTGTCTATTAGGGTCAAATAATTAATACTTGCAACCAGGAATAGTTCCCAACAGGTTTTAATTGGGCATTTTCCACACAGAAAATTGCCATTCTTATTTGTACGTGAAGGGCAGCGACCTGTCACGAAAATGACACAATAACCGAAACGGACAATTATTTGGACTAGGAAGCTGGGAGTATATATTTAGGTTTATTATTACCGAGGTGTCAAATAATGTTCTTGAAATGATAAATAGTAATTAATTATGCCCCCATTTCGAAGAAAAAGGGGGTATATTGCTTTGCACTTGTCGGTCCGTCGGTCCGTAGACCAAATGGTTTCCGAGTGATAACTAAAGAACCCTTAGGCCTAGGAACTTCAAACTTGGTATGGTGATTGGTCATGACCAGTAGATGACCCCTATTGATTTTGGGGTCAAAGGGTCAAAGGTCAAGGTCACATTGACCTTGTAAGCAAAAACGGTTTCCGATCAATAACTAAAGAACCTTAAGGCCTAGTAACTTCAAACTTGGTATGGTGATTGGTCATGACCAGTAGATGACCCCTATTGATTTTGGGGTCAAGGGGTCAAAGGTCAAGGTCACATTGACCTTGTAAGCAAAAACGGGTTCCGATCAATAACTAAAGAACCTTAAGGCCTAGGAACTTCAAACTTGGTATGGCGATTGCTCATGATCAGTAGATGACCCCTATTGATTTTGGGGTCAATGGGTCAAAGGTCAAGGTCACATTGACCTTGTAAGGAAAAACGGTTTCCTATCAATAACTTAAGAACCTTTAAGGCCTAGGAAATTCAAACTTGGTTTGGTGATTGGTCATGATCAGTAGATGACCCCTATTGATTTTGGGGTCAAGGGGTCAAAGGTCAAGGTCACATTGACCTTGTAAGGAAAAAAGGTTTCCGATCAATAACTAAAGAACGCTTCGGCCTAGGAACTTCAAACATGGTATGGTGATTGGTCATGATCAGTAGATGAACCCTATTGATTTTAGGGTCAAGGGGTCAAAGGTCAAGGTCACATTGACCTTGTAAGCAAAAACGGTTTCCGATCAATAACTAAAGAAGTTTTTGGCCTAGGAACTTCAAACTTGGTATGGTGATTGGTTAGGACCAGCAGATGACCTATTGATTTTGGGGTTAAGGGGTCAAAGGTCAAGGTCACATTGACCTCTTGGGTAAAAACGGTTTCCGATCAATAACAAAAGAACCTTTAGGCCTAGGGACTTCAAACTTGATATGGTGATTGGTCATGACCAGTAGATGATCCCTATTGATTTTGGGGTCAAGGGGTCAAAGGTCAAGGTCACATTGACCTCTTACGTAAAAACGGTTTGTGATCAATAACTAAAGAACCCTTAGGCCTAGAAACTTCAAACTTGGTATGGTGATTGGTCATGACCAGGAGATGACCCCTATTGATATTGGGGTTAAGGGGTCAAAGGGCAAGGTCACATCGACCTTGTAGGTAAAAATGCTTTCCAATCAATAACTTAAGAACCCTTAGGCCTAGGAACTTCAAACTTGGTATGGTGATTGGTCATGACCAGCAGATGACCTTTTGATTTTGGGGTCAAGGGGTCAAAGGTCAAGGTCACATTGACCTTGTAGGTAAAAACGGTTTCCGATCAATTAACTAAAAACGCTTAGGCCTAGGAACTTCAAACTTTGTATGATGATTGGTCGTGACCAGCAGATGACCCCTATTGAGTTTTGAGCCAAGGGGTCAAAGGTCAAGGTCACATTGACCTTGATAGTAAAAACGGTTTCTGATGAATAACTTAAGAACGCTTAGGCCTAGGAACTTCAAACTTGGCATGGTGATTTGTCAGGACCAGCAGATTACCCCTATTGATTTTGGGATCAAGGGGTCAAAGGTCAAGGTCACATTGACATTGTAAGTAAAAACGGTATCTGATCAATAACTAAAGAACGCTTCGGCCTAGGAACTTCAAACTTGGCATGGTGATTGGTCATGAGCAGCAGATGACCCCTATTGATTTTGGGGTCAAAGGTCAAGGTCACATTGACCTTGTATGTTAAAACGGTTTCTGATCAATAACTAAAGAACCCTTAGGCCTAGGAACTTCAAACTTGGTATGGTGATTGGTCATGACCAGCAGATGACCTATTGATTTTTGGGTCAAGTGGTCAAAGGTCAAGGTCACATTGACCTTGTAGGTAAAAACGGTTTCTGATCAATTAACTAAAAACGCTTAGGCCTAGGAACTTCAAACTTTGTATGATGATTGGTCGTGACCAGCAGATGACCCCTATTGAGTTTTGGGTCAAGGGGTCAAAGGTTAAGGTCATGACCAGTAGATACTTGATAACCCTTATTAATTGTTTGATCACTGGGTCAGAAGTCATGCATAATAACCTTATCACATGACTAATTGGCTGCTGATAGGGGGCATACATGTTTTACAAACATATCTTGTTTAATGTTAGATGATGTTGGTTTCAAAAAAGGAAAATAATATGTATTGCTTTTTCTGGTAATAAACTTTATACTTTATTAAGGGCGAAAAGTCTTGGATCGAAAAGTCTCGGTCGAAATGTTGCATCAATTCGCGGCTTAAAAGGAAACTAATACCTTCTAAATTTATTTTGGTAATTAAGGAATAAAATTATATACCTGAAGCTACACATGGATGGTTGTGAAAGACCTCCATAGACAGAAAAAAATGTGACAGTCTTCACATTGAAACAATTCATTGGTTCGTCTTTCTGAAGAAGCCGCCATGTTGGTTTGTGACGTCACACTCCAAAGTTCCCTGCCTATACGGTGGAGAGTTTGGAGTAGAAAGAGTAATAAAGTTTCCTTTTAAAAGGAAAGGCTTGCACAGTTGTGCCTTCATCCCAACCCTTTAAAATTGTTTTTTTTTTTTGGTTTCAATTTATTATCACATTTTTTTTTGAATTACGGTATTTGTATATCATAAAGGGTTTATTTAGTTGGTGTTTTTTTTTTTTTTTTTTTTTTTTTTTTTGGAAAACCGAATATTTTTTGTCAATCTATTCTCTATTGTATAAAACTAATAAAAAATGATCAACCGTAAAAATACTAACGTGATACTGAAGGAAAACAAGTGTGCACATTTCATTTCCCCTTTTTCGCAGCGAAATCATTCCTTTGCTTTATAGACAAGTAAATGCACTAAAATACTTTTACGTGGTACCATGTATCAACTATGTTACACGATCACAAATAGACGATTCAGCACGTGGCAAGGTTAATGATATGCATGGGCTATTTTTAGATTACCTTGCGTTCAGTAGATCTAAATATAACTCGGTCATGCGTGATTTGGTAAGCAGGACCACCCTTTGAACTACAGTCACCATCCTCTATTGTATAAAACTAATACAGACAAAAAATAATTATAAAAGAAACAAACTTTTCCGTCTTGAAAAACATTTGAAACGGAACAATTTCGTTTAAAATTTATTTCGGTTTAAACCGATAAATCAAGTAAAAATAGAAATCCTATTTATATAAACAATATGGGATTACCGAAGTAACTAAAATAGCTTAGATTTCCGTAATATTACTTCGTCTGATTCCGCAGTATGACGGAATCGCCCGAATTGTCACGATTGCACTCGGAACTACATCGGCTATTATAATTAATCCGAAGAGTGACGGAAAAGGCCGAAAAGTTGCGATTGGCACGATTGGAGCTGGTTTCCCGTTCAATCATGCACCAACAGATGTAAGCAGGAAACCACCTAACCGGAACAAGTTTTCCATATGAAATGGCTTGCAGTCGTGGCTGCAAGCCAAAAAGAGTTGCCCAATCAAGTCCGACCCATAATTTTCAGACATTTCCATGATGTTAGATGGTTAGTTTGATTAGAATTTAAATATATGATAAGTTCCATATTGTTCCATATTTAATCGAACTAGTTCTGAGGCTGTTGGGGAGAGGGCGGTTAAACGGTAGTAAATAAATTTCTTATACTTTCTTAATAAAATTTACAAAGTTCTGAGACTTGTAGCACGTACCTAGGCCCAAAACTAAATCACTAGACTAATGTTATTTAATGATCTTTTAACCACTAAAATCACCAAGAAAGCTAGGGATAATAATTGTATCTGACAAGTCAACACCATGTTTATGGAATATGTTCTAAACTGACAGCTCAAATGAGAATATGACCGCGTGAGTAATGACGCTTGTTTAAATTTTAATGTAAATGCCAAAAACTTCATGAATAGGAACTGGCTTACATAGTCATGAAATTGGAAAACTGATGGTCTGAGCGGGTTTTTTCAATGTACCTGTTTATTACATTGTGACCAGTACAACTATTACACATTTATGTCATTAATTAGAATCTAGTTTAAACAACCTTTTATGTCCTTATTATTATTTTTTCTTTGCTCTTGCTATGTAACCAAAGACTTATAATTATCATATTTGTAATTGTTGTATGTAAAGATATAAAAAATGTAAAAGTTACTGGAATTAACTATTTCTTCTCATTAATGGATGTAATGATTCCCACTTTCCCTCCTAATTTAACTAGAATCTATGTCTATTTTTTTTTCTTTCTGAGGAAGACCCAATATGCCTCCCCTGCATTGTTTCATTACGAGCAGGCACCACAATAGTACCACCGATTTTCCATAAGCCCGAGCTGGAGGGCTACCTCTATAAAGAATTTTACGCCAAAAGTGAGATTCAAACCCGTATCTATGAGGGGCAAGTCAGCAACCTTGACCACCTGGCCACGGAGGGTCCTCACACCAAAGATGAAGATCCAATGTTATCTATATCTCTCTGCGCAAACCTATCTACCTTATTTATGAAAAACACTCGTCACTTTCAAACCAGAAAACTGCTTTCACCCGGGTCGGGGTAAATTCTTTAATGAAATTATGAGAATACTTTCCAAAATGTTTAAAAAAGAATTACCTTGTCTAAATGTCTGTACTTCTTAACAATATGGCATATTAACTATAATGGCGGCCATGTCACTCTCGTGTGCAAATTCAGCAACTTTGAACAATTCCTCGAAATTGAAGAAGTAAATTCGAAAGCCAGTCGTCCGACCGGACTTTGATTCTACTGTATTAGTGTGAAATGTTATTCTTTGTAAACCTGAGTAGGCTCTACACCTTTCCCAAAAAACGTAGTTTTTAAATTGAATTTAGCCAACAGCTGATGTTGGGTTAGGCATTGCCTCGCATTATCTCGTGTTACTCCGCCATCTTGAAATGCCTACTTCCGGTGCATGAATGGTTGAACTGCGCATGTCTAAAAATTAGTTTACGATTTAACTGATTTGGTACCATGGTGTGTGGCCACACACACTGACACACACATAAGCACGATAACGATAAACCGAGGTTTTCACAAAATTTCGCCAATAGGTGTGTCGTAGTAAATGCGCGCATTTTACGAGGTACACATACCGAGGTAATGGGAAAAGTACCTCAGTGTTTTTTTGTTCCTCGGTACGTGGGTGTGTAAACATATAATTTACCTCGGTAAGTGAAGTATACAAACACACAGGTGAATTGCTATATGCCACCGCATCGCAGATTGCGGTGGCATAAAAAGAAATCCACAAATGATTATCTCACATGCACATTAAAAATAAATCATTGTTCTGTAAACTTATAACCTTTGACACTCTGGAATACAAATGTCATGAAAATGTGATTGATTGACCGTTCAGTTCAGCATATAATGTGATGAACGAGCCGAACGAAACAAGAGCATACCATATGACAGCAAGCCTGATAGAAAAATCAGAGGTGTCTTTGAAAAAAGGTTCAATATATACTGAGTTGTTGTCATTAAAGTAAATAGATATATTCTAAGTGGTAAAGAAATATGTCAATGGGTTTAGTAAAAAAGTATGTGACACACACACACACGCGCGCGTACGTACATACACCTTCAAATGAGGACGTCGGGCGAGACACCGTCAATTCGATACATGTATTTCCAGACATGATACGTTACCCAAATCATTTTATATTGCATATAAAAAGCACAAGTTCATAGTTTGTTGTTTAATAAACTGCTAAACCTATTGGCTTCAAACCGGTCGTTATGCCATCAAATGGAGACAACCGATACACAGACGTGCCAAGTGAAGACAACTCGCACACACCCTCATTTGGGCTAATAACTATCCAAATGAAGACAATGATACACCTATTTGCATTTTAGTTTTATTTTCTTCGAACAAGGTTTTAACGAAATGGTAGTACATAGGATTTTGTTGTATAACATTTATGTAATAAAATGAGGCGTTTTCAGTTTAAAATCAAATTCTTTATTTTTTGAATAGACAACTTTCTTATGATTAAGAAAATTACATATATAAGTACACGCTTTAAAATATAGAGAAGCCTTCAATTAGTGAATGACAAACAATGACATATATGAAATAATGATTAAAAATCCCTAAATACAATGCTTTTAAATTGCTAATTATTATTATGCAATCTAAAATTTTGTTACTAAAAATGCATATAACTAGAAAATATGTAGCATGAATTTTTAAAAAAAGACAGTCCATACTTCTATACGAAAACTTCATTTTGAAAATCTTTACAGAATTATTTCTCAATATTAAAAACATAATTATTTTCAGAACAATAAACATAGCTTAATTACTGCACATGAAAATAGAAATAGCGTATAAAGGGAAGGGTTTATTTTCTATCATAAAGCAAACTACAGTTAAAACAATATGAAATAAGCATTAATATTTGTGCATCTGAAAAAAAAGTAGAATACCTTCAAAATAGAAGAGATCTTTTAAGAAATGAATTTTATATAATTTGTTTATTAAGTTTTCGTATATGATATTTACAGTGATTTTCGTATATCATCTGGCACAGTAATTCAGTGGCTCTAATCAGAAAAAAATACATTTTCCAGCAACAATTCTTTAATCGGCCTTAAAATGATAAATAATTTTTTCATCACCAGTTTCTGTAAACAACTATGGACTGTTGCTTTAAAAGCATTAACAGGCAGTACAACGAAGTAAATTAATGTTATATTTGCATAAGGCTATATGAGAGGACTTACCCATGCATAAAACATGATTTGTATAACATGACTCGGAGGAGCTAGTATGCTAAGATAACACATTTAGCATTATTGGAAATAGAGAAGAAAACTACTAGAATTCAACAACTGCATCATGAAAAAATACTTTAAACATTAAAAAGAATACGAAGAACACAACACAATTTTTTATTAAATAACTATTTATTTATCAGCCCTGTAATTTGCCGAGGCCGACAAGTGATATAGATATAAAGCCCATATTTTAAGGAATCTGATTGGCTGCAAGAGTAGTGCCGAAGAGTGATATAGATCTGAGCTAAAATGACGGCCTTTGTTGTATTTTTCTTATTCAAAGAAACTCTAGCTCATAATTTCTCCATAGAATTAATTTACAGTAATGCAATCTTGGCAGTAACATTATTACAAGTACGAAAACGTTAGTCCGCTCGTCATAATAGATCGTAGTTATCTATTAAACTCAATTATCATTAGATAAATGATTTGATAGTATGTCTTGTTATTTTGTCCTGGGAAATTAGTATTGATTCTCGGCCTACGGCTTCGGGCCAATACGACCGCCCTCGGAAAAATAACATACAATGTGCATAATGTATATTCATATTATATACATTTATAATTATTGAAACATGTGTATACTATATAAAAAGATCTTATTGCGTTGTATGACACGGTTTAAAGTTACTGTTACGTATGTAAATAATCCAAGGAAATATAATGTTTTATCTTGAATTATTGATCTTGACAAATCTCCAGTGGAAAGCTAGTTATTATTATATTATAGTACTATGATCTTTGCATTCATGGCAAAACAATAATGTAAAGTTAAACGCTAAGGATATGTCTTTTACGAAACAAAATAAAAGTCAAAATCGAGTTTAAACATAACTGCCTTTAAACTTCCAAGTAAATACTTCAAAGCAAACAAATAATTGTGTGAAATTTCGCTTTGAAATGTACACTACCAAATCAATAACTCTAGAATTATTCTGACAGGGTTTGAATACATATAGACGTTAGAATGAATTAAAGTTGATGTACATGGGGAACATTTGTACTCGCTTTGAATGATCTAAATCTTAAAAAATGTAAAACAACATCCTGATTATTTACTTTTCATTGTAACATGTACTTATTAATTCTGCATATTTACGATATATGATTTAAATACGTTTGTTGTCTAAAACAATTCTATTTAATTGAAGAAAACATTAGCTGCAGTAACATGCTTGTATAATAACATTTCATAGTAAAGTACGTATTAGATAAATATCATTTAACATGTTTAATGATACTTATTCTAATCACAGGAGTGAAACTTATAATTTAGAATAGTAATAGTAATGATCTATACATTTTGTTGCGTACATTACACAAGCTATAAAAATATGAATACCATCTAATACTTATACGTCATTTGGATCTACAATTATGCATGCACTCCGTCTCGTCAGGATTGTATAACCAATTCAGATTTATTTCTGTTTCTTCTTTAAATCATTATTCAATTTTGTTGTTTTATTCCTAACGAAGTCCTTAATGTTACGCCAACTTCTTCTGCCCAAACATGGATTTTCGTTTAGCAACCGATCACATTCAGCCTTTCCTGGCAATTTGTTAAGGTAGACATATTTTTGAAATGCGGTCATCACAACTCTGTCTTCTTCTGGTGTCCACTTTTTTTGCCTGAAAAAAAAAAGAAATTTAAACATTTACAAAACAAAAACAGAGAGAAGACAACATTTATACAATCATCATGTACCTCATATTTTGATACATACATGTAGAATTTTTTTTTGATGAAATAACAACTGAAGATCTCAGAGTTACAAGCAAGAAACAGCTCCCAGAAAAATTACCCCATTATAACCGGAAAGCACTTTATATGACAATTGTATTCCGTTAAAATTTGAACGTTAAATCAAAAGTCGACCAAATTTGGTATGTAACATAAGAGATTGTGTTTAAAATCAAGATATCTTTGAACAATTACAATTTCATGATAGAAGCTTAAATTTAAATGCTGTCAACATATATAATTTAGCTTTTTACCACAGTTTTTCTTTTGTTTCTTTCTTGTTTTTAGGTCATCATCGGATTCATCACTGTCTGCAATAAAAATTTATAAAAAAAAACATTGCAGATGATTAAAACGCTATACTGATTTTCTAATAATTTGCAATTGTTTTCCTGTGAATCGAGCGTTATGCTGAGAAATTTACTGGTCGAAATTAGTGTATTTTTCAATTAGAGAAAAACATGTGTATGGTTATAAAGCTTATAAACAGAAGCGTGCGTCATATGCTACGATTTTTATAAACTAAATGGCAAGTTTTCACATTCCATTTCTAACAAATGAAATGAGCAATTCAGCTACTTCTCGTTCGAAGCAGAACTTTATACCTGGTCAATAACCCCTGCCAATTCGTATTTAATTTTTGCCTTAAACTTTATATTTCCGAGTATAACTGATACTAACAACACGTAGGAATAAATAAGGAAAAATTGCAAGCAATTACCATATTGTCTTTTATTGTTAACCCAGTCAGGATCACCCACATCATCATCGGAGTCAAAATCTCCTGTGTTCTGTAGCCCTGAAATATGTTAAAAGAAACTATATGTAATATATATATATATATGTAATATATATATATAGCGAGAAAAATAACGAGATGGCGGTGCCTTGTGTTTATTTCTTACATACGTTAATCCAAAATTTGCTCTTCCAAAGCACACATCTTAATGAATTACCACTCGCAGAACTTCAGCTTTAATTATTTGCGGACGTTTAAAAAACCCTTACTTGACTGGAATATTGTTATTTGCAAATTTATGTTTAATTTTGTTAAGATAAAGCAAATGTGTATTTCGTTAGTTTATACAGAATTTATTTTAGTTTGATTGTGTAGGAAGCTTATAGCTTATAGATACACTATGGAACCAACCAACCATTTATACTTTATTAAGATATGCATACTTAAACATATAGATTTAGAAAGTAGATAAATATAGGCTAATGTAATTTTTGAAAATAATTTTAACACATTCAAATGCAAAAAGGAACCGAACATTTGAATATCAATATTCATGAAATTGCCATCCGTAGACAAAGTATAAATAATTTTAATTGTTATTTCTGGTAAATAAAATACTTAATGACGCTATCTTTCTTGTTTATTTGTGAGGAATAAATGACAAAAAATGAAAAAAATACGGAGAACATTTTTTAACAACATGAACTTCTAATATTTATTCACTTATCTGTTTCTGAATTATCTAAATAATTACCATATCGAGGTTTGACAGTAGGTTCTGATCTCGGTGGAGAAACAACACTTAGTCTACTAGGCTCTGCACCATCGCATTGGCCATCTGACTGCTCATCATCTTCATCACTTGAATTTTCTTCGTCAGTCACTGTCGTTTCTTTATCTGAAACATACTTACTGATAATAATTCAAAAAAGACAATCACATCAAAACCAGATATCAATGTTTTAAGATATTAGATAGTTAATTAAGAGACCGTTTCATTTTGAATGATCAAACAATACGGTCATTACTCAAATGAATATTAAAATTGTGATTTTAATGCTTTGACGGACACTATCTCATTTTAAGAAATATTAATTATATCTGAGAATTTTCCAAAACACATACAAAAAAGAAAAAAATACCGATAAAAGACTGGGTATTATCGTGAATTTTTGCAGCTTCAGTCTCAGTTATCTTGCCGGTATTTAAAAGGTGCAGGATCTTGCATACTTTCGCCACTTCTAGCGTTCCTTCTGGAAGCCTATAATATTCCCTGTGAATTCTAATATCGTGTCCCATAAACGTTGCTAGTAGGTCCTGGTTGCTCTCTGTTAGATTCAGAACCTGCGACATTGTTGCCAACTGTTTCCTTAAACTAGTTGATGTTATTCTAGAAGCATGCGTAACATTTGCAGTTTCGGCCGCCTCTTTCAGAACGTCATTCCCCCTAAAAGGTTTCCTTCCGCCCGGTCTTATAAACACATAATCACTTTCTATATGTAACCTAGACTGAAGCTTCAAAAGGATATCAAGGTTTTCCTTCATATTTTTCGTGAAAAGTATGGAAACTCTCCTCCCTCGTTTAAGGCTCTTACCCCGCGTTTCAACTCTGAAGTGAGATCTACATAACTGTCTTTCAAATTTGCTTAATGTTTTTGAAACGTCTTTGTCTACATTTTCATTAACACAGCCCTTTAGAAAGTCTTCTTTTTTTAACCGTTCTGCTTCCCCAGACCTCTTCCTATTAAATAGTATAACTTCGGCTAATGATAACTTGCAAAGGGCCGAATACATTTCTTTGACATCATCTTGCACACTGGCTTTAATTTTTCCGCTTCCTCACGCAAATAAGTTGAGAGTTTCACAACATCTTCTACGAGTGGTAGAAGCTTAGGTTTATTAAACCTTTCAATGGCCAAGGACTCTTTGGCCATGAAAACCATTCTTTCATAGTATTCGTCATCGTAGCATTTTAGAAATCGTGTCATTCTTTCTTCTTGCACAGTGTCTTCCGCCTCTGAAGCCTGTGTCCTGAGCATTTTAGCCACTTTTTTTAAACTATTTCCAACCTTTTCTACATATGATGGGGACTGGAAGGAGCATGTATCGGGGTCGAATCCGGCAACCTCTTTAATTGTTTCCAAAAGTGAAGTCCACATGACAGGCTGGATGCATTTTTCTAGATTGTCTACAGTAGGTATTTTCTTCTTCATAGCTACTGCTAATCTCGCCAGCTCACGCATGCGGCAAGATATATGTGCATGTGAGGTTTCGGAATTTCCCGTTTTTTCGAACCGCCTTTCTCCAAACTTCATTATCAATCTGTCAGCTTTTGCCCACTGGCCTATTATGTCATCTCTCATGTTTGCGACAACTTTCTTTCGAAATATTTCGCCAAGACCCGAGTTGTCAGTGGAACAACATGCCTCTAACAATTTTGAATTTCTAACAGGGGCATCGCTTTTAACCATGTTTTCATTTCCGACGCAACTTTTGTGGTGTTTCCAAAGGTCTGACGATACTATTAACATTCTGCAAAACTCACATGGGAGGTATTTTCTAACGTCTTGCTCTTTTCTCTGACGGTATTTTGGTATTAAAGTCCCAAATCCTTTATTTTTAATTTTTGTATTATATAAATTGTTGCCTTTAGCCGCTATTACTGCCCAGGCCCGTTTCCTTTCATTTGATCCTTTCTTCATATTTAAAACTTTGGCAACTTCAACTTCACTACTATGATCTTGTTCCAGATGCCTTGCCAACTTCAAATCAAGTTTTTCACAGTAAACACACAGCGTTTCTGCGAACGCTTTCCGCCAGAAGACCCTGAAGAAGCAACTTGTATTTTTGTCAGTGAATCTTTTATGGTCACACACGAGGATTCATCACTGTCATACACAATGTCTACATCGGCTGTATTTTCCTCGGTGGTCGCATGCTTTCCTTCAACGATGGATTTAAACACCCACTCTTTTGAAACACACTTATCTAAAAAACACAAAAAATGATAGGAAGTGACAATATTGACAGTGATATTGCATCCATTTTCCATGAGCTAATATTTTTTCACTCTCGACGTTTCGTCAAATTTAAGCATCTATTTTTCGCGCTAACACGAATCACGTGACTTGTATACTTTTGTTCATTCTTTCAAGGGGCGGCTCTATACCATAATTAAATAGGTTATACGTGTATGCATTAATGAACGTATTGGAAGACCAATGATTACCGTATTGTTTTGGTTGCAATAAAAACAAAAAATATAAATGGGATATGTAACACGATCACATTAAAGATACAATACAAGACCAGAATCCTTGAAAACTTTATTTTGAAAAAACATGACAAAGTTAGAATGAAATTAAGACACTTTCCATGAATAAATCAGGATTTGCAACACATAATACAAAACACATGAGGTATTTATGAAGATACTGATTTGTAACTCGGATTTGACAAAATGACCAGCCAGGTCTTTTTAAGAAATTACTATATTTCTTCAATAGTCATATAATTTGTTTTACAGATTAACTTTTTTAAGACACAAACTGTCATTATATTTGCATGTTAATATAATTATGCTGTCAGATTTCTATTTTGTTAACCTTCATTATCGCCTGTTTTGGACCTTTAAATCATTATGCATTAGTATTTCATTACATTGCAAATACACGAGTATAAAGTTAATAGATGGTCAACGTCTGAAGCTTAAGTTTTAGCGAAAGACACCCAACATTATTCATTAAGGATATCAAGGAAGCTGAAGGATACACAGGCAGTCATACGCGAAGCACAAACAATCACACAACAGTTATATAAATAACCAGTTTGTGACAACATATAAGAGAAATACCAAATTATGAAAATATTTGGTTACATAATTGATATCGATAAACAAGATCATTGTTAATTTGAGGTTAACTTTCATTTCCTACATAGAAAGTAAATCCTATTAAAGAATTCATAGAGTCTGACACACTACGAAGGGTGATATATGCACATATTGATTATATGATTATGCATGCGGCTTAATTTCATTGCACGTTACGCAACAACACTCCAAGACCAATTCAGTTATCATGTTCGTGTATGTGTATGTATGTAATAAATTGATGCATATGTCACTGTATTTGAACAAAACTGTTAAATTATAAAGTGATGAAATATTAACGCAAGAATCAAATATACCGGAAATGACTTTGTGCCTCTTTACCAGTACTACCCAATGTATAGATTTGTCATGTTGTAATTTTGTAAAGACCTGATATATGAATAAAGTACTTTTGACTTTGAAACGATTTCATGTTTTATCACTTTTAAGACGTCTTCCATTTTAAAAGTACACATCACTTAAATATAAATTGCATTGAGCAGATGTAAGTATCCCCTAAATTTTGCATCTGATACGCCCCAACATTAAGCCCGAAACTCATCTATTAAAGGTCGGTGCTTTTATCAGCTAGGGTAAATGTCATATGACAACATTTATAATTGCTAACATAAAACAAAGCTGGTTTTTGTTTCTTAGGTCAGGTTTGTTTAAACCAACGGCATGTATCACCGAATTAAAAAACAATAAAAACACATGTTCTTATCGCTATCACAATTTAAAAGCGTTGATACTCCCCGTTGACGTTTTTGTTCATGGGAAGAAAAAGATATTTAAAGGCCGCATACCAGAGAGTGAGCAGATCACTGTAACCTGAGATCATGTAAACATTAATTCAGTCGTCTGCTGGTACACTATGTAACAGTTTTATGAATACCGTAAGTGAAATTTGTATGTGCATTTTGTTATAGATTCTATTACCAGGAAAGTTATATCAGACAGATATTAAAATTTACCTGGAAGGAGTACACTTCATATCTTTACTCCAAAATTTACTAATAATGCAACTATTTGTTAAACTCAGATCAGATGGTTTAAGCTTTATAATGCAGTCTAGAAGATATTTTTTACATGTAAATTCATCATAATATTATGTAATTTATACATTTGTTTAAATAAAAACAAACAATTACTGTTACTTTAATCATAGTCAGTGCCGTAGCTACGTTGAGGCACTCCGAGGCAGCTGCCTCTGTGTTTTTTGGGCATATATCATTTTCGCAAATAACTTCAAATTCTCCCAGTTATATCCATTTTTTTTTTACTTTGAATATCTGAACAGAACTCCGAGGCAAAACGAGAGCGCGAATGTTTGTAGTAGGTCTTTTGAAGTACAACATAAGTACCAAGTACGGTAAGTACCAAATACCCCATTATGTAACAATATACGAAATCGATATTTTTATTCTATCACCGGTCCGTCAGAATATAAACAATACACCAGCGCCAAATTTATAGGCAACTAACAGCTGTAATCAGATCTCAACATGATGGTGAGTATATTGAGTATAAAATGGATAAATGTTGTGTTATTTTTTTAATTGAAATCATAATCTTTTCATATGCCCAAAATATTTAAGATATAAACAAAATGTCTTTGAAGCGTCACGCCTGACTACAGCGCTGATTTTTGTATTGATTTTTAACTTAGCACAGTGGTTGCGCTCGGTGGCATAAAGTTTGACTACAGAGTTACAATGCTGCAATTGGTTGGTGGTTCGAACCCCACACGGATCGATTTTTTATGCCCCCACAATGTGGGAGCATATAGCGTTGCACTTGTCCGTCCGTCAGTCCGTCCGTCCGTACGTCCCGAAATCTTGTGAACGCAACTCCTCTTAAACCGGATGTCAGATTTTGCTTAAACTTACAGGGATGAACAACCTTAATGTGTAGATGGCAGTTAAAGGAAGGAATTTTTGCTGCGACCAAATTTAACAGAATTATGGCCCTTTGTTGATTTTTTTCACTAGCTACTATGTAGAAATTTTATGAACACAACTCCTCTTAAACCGGATGGCAGATTTTGCTTAACCTTACAGGGAGAACAACCTTAATGTGTAGATGGTAGTAAAGGAAGGAATTTTTTGCTGCGACCAAATTTAACAGAATTATGGCCCTTTGTTGATTTTTTCACTATATACTATGTAGAAATTTTGTGAACGCAACTCCTCTTAAACTGGATGGCAGATTTTGCTCTAACTTACAGGGATGAACAACCTTAATGTGTAGATGGTAGTAAAGGAAGGAATTTTTGCTGCGACCAAATTTAAAAGAATTATGGCCCTTTGTTGATTTTTTCACTATGTACTATGTAGAAATTTTGTGAATGCAACTCCTCTTAAACCGGATGGCAGATTTTGCTTAAACTTCCAGGGATTAACAACCTTAATGTGTTGATGGCAGTAAAGGAAGGAATTTTTACTGCAACCAAATTTAACAGAATTATGGCCCTTTGTTGATTTTTTCATTAATTACTATGTAGAAATTTTGTGAACGCAACTCCTCTTAAACCGGATGGCAGATTTTGCTTAAACTTCCAGGGATTAACAACCTTAATGTATAGATGGTAGTAAAGGAAGGAATTTTGCTGCGAACAAATTTAACAGAATTATGGCTCTTTGTTGATTTTTAGTTTCAACTTGTGGCACATGTAGTCCAAAAAATATTTGACCTAGAGTCATAAGATTGACAGAACAGTGGTGTGTGGGGGCATCAGTGTCCTATGGACACATTTCTAGTTTTGTCTCATTTTATAGCTTTTTTATGCCACCGCAGCATCTGCGATGCGGTGGCATATAGCGATTCACCTGTGTGTGTGTGTGTGTGTGTGTTGTTCGTTTTGTTTGTTTGTGTGTGTGTGTTTATATAGATTATATAGTGAACTTAAAAAATCTTCTTGTGAAAAACCACTGGTCCAATTTCAACCAAACTTGGCAGGATTGATCCTTGGGTGAAGGGCTTCCAAAGTTGTTCAAAGAATTTAATTCCATGCAGAAATCTGGTTGCCATGGCAACCAAAAGGAATTATAAGAATAAATTTAAAAAATCTTCTTGTAAAGACCCAAAAAGGCCTAGAGCTTAGATATTTTGCATAAGGCATTGTCTGGTAGACCTCTACCAAGATTGTTCAAATTATAGCCCTGGGGTCAAAATCGGCCCCGCCCCGGGGGTCATTGATTTTCACTATATGTACATATAGTAAAAACTTAAAATACCTTTTTGTAAAGACCCATAGGCCTAGAGCTTAGATATTTTGCATAAGGCATTGTCTGGTAGACCTCTACCAATATTGTTCAAATTATAGCCCTGGGGTCAAAATCAGCCCTGCCCCGGGGGTCATGGATTTTCACTATATGTACATATAGTAAAAATTTAAAATACCTTCTTGTAAAGACCCAAAAGGCCTAGAGCTTAGATATTTTGCATAAGGCATTGTCAGATAGACCTCTACCCAGATTGTTCAAATTATAGCCCTGGGGTCAAAATCGGCCCGGCCCCGGGCGTCATTGATTTTCCTCATAATTACATAGTAAAAACTTATAGTAAAAACTTTAAAAAAATTTCTTCTAGCAATTGACAAATGCTAGAGGTTAGATACTTTGCATGAAACATTGTGAAGTGAACCTCTAGCAAGAATGTTCAAATAATAGCCCTGGGTCAAAATTGCCCCTGCCCGGGGTCATTGATTTTCAGTATATACATATAGTAAAAAATCAAAAAATCTTATTGTCTGAAGGTACAAGGCTTAGAGCTTTTAATATTTGTTAAATGATATCATATATAGGTACTCTACCAAAGTTGTTCAAATTTTGCCTCTAGTGTCAAAATTAAAAGTGAACTTTGATATCAGCTGACCTAGATTTTGACAAAGTGTATTACATGTTGTCCTTTGATGCAGTCATGAAATTTTAGGCTGTGTGAAATATGACCTTCACCACCAAATTCACTTGACTCAAGTGCATTGATATATTCCTACTCTGATCTTTATTAGCTCACCTGTCACAAAGTGACAGGGTGAGCTTTTGTGATCGCTTTTCATCCGGCGTCCGTCCGTCGTCCGTAAACTTTTACTTTAAA